GGAGCTTTGCCTGATGTATAGTTAGTGTATCTCCGTATGTAAGCGTACGGCGTCTGCTGCATAAAAGCTGCTGCGCATTTCTGTTTAGATGAGATTTTGATAATAACGAGCTATTCAACCTCCAGGTGTGCACCGGAGAGAAAGTCAGTTATTAGAGAGGTTTTGCAGAGCGAACGTTCGCGCGAATTTTCGTTTGACGTCACGAAAAGCGAAACTTCGTGCGAACGTTCGCAGTTTTGAACGCGAAAGTTGCAGGAAACGCGAAACAAACTTTCGCAGTAATTTTCGCTCTTTGTGGACCACTGGTCAGCCTGGTGCACGGTGAGCGACCCTCAATCTTCATGTTTGTGCTGGATCTCTACTCTTGGCTTGGCCTGCGAGTGCTAGCTTTCCGATACTTTTGGCAGCCCGTGTTGTTTCATCTCCAGAACCATCTCCGATCTCCTGCTTGCTCGTCTTCTCACTGCTCAGAATCGGTTACATCAACGATGCCTTTTTGAATCTCAAGAAAGTGTTGATGCGCAAGGTTACGGCACAAGCCAACCCGGCCCGTTTGTCTGTGGGTCTCCGGCCATGGACAACGTAGTCAAAGAGCTCTCGTCTCAGGCCGTGACTCAGGGTACCTGGTGCGCGTGCCGCCACTCGCAACAAACAAATAATCGGATAGAGAACACTCAAGTTCTCAAAAACAAGCGAGTGCACACGAAATTTTCTTGGAGCGAGAAACATGCAAACGTTCGCAGTAATGTTCGCTCTTTGTGGACTGTTCGTGCGCGGTGAGCCACCCTTAATCCTCATGTTTGTGCTTGATCTCTACTCATGGCTTGGCGGCGGGTGCTTGCTTTCCTATACTTGTGGCAGCCCGTGTTGCTTCATCTCCGGAACCATCCCCGATCTCCTGCCTGCTCGTCTTCTCACTGCTCAGAGTCGGTTACATCAACGCGCGATGCCTTTTTGAATTTCAGGTGTCGATGCGCCAGATTATGGCACAAGCCAACCCGTTTGTCTGTGAGTCTCCGGCCATGGACAAGGTAGTCAAAGAGCTCTCGTCTCAGGCCATGACTCAGGGTGCCGTCACTCGCAACAACAAAATAATTGGATGAAGACCACTTCTCAAACAAGCGAGTGCACGCGAAAATTCCTGGGAGCGAAAAACATGCAAAACACAAATTTCGCGCGAACGTTCGCAATAGTTTTCGCAACCCGGAACGCGAAAATCATTGCGAACGTTCGCTCTGCAAAACCTCTCTATTTTGCCGTTTCTTCTTTCACTAATAATTATATCTCAGGTGTGTACCTGAAAGAAGTAGATTAAAAGTAATGCTTGTTGATTTCACCGCGCCTACCACTCGGCTACCCATTACATTGGTGGCAGCGGTGTAGTTTTAAATAAAACAACGTGATTCGACCCCAGACTCCGATGGCTCAACCCGCTAGAGCTCCGTGCGACGAATCAAGATGAGAATCATGTTTCTTGCCTTCCTCGGCCTGGCACTGCTTATTAGCCTGCAGCTCAGTCAGGGTGCTAGCGTGGATCACCCTTCTCTCCGCACGGCACACACTGGAGACTCCGATGGCGATTCCAAGCGACCCGCTACCCACATGTATACTACCGGTGGTGATGGCGAAGCTGATGAGGACGACAACAGGCAGGCTGGTACCCAAGACAAGGAGGGTATTCCCCAAGACCAGCAGCGTTTGATTTTCGCCGGCACGCAGTCGGAAGCAGGAGCCCACTCTTCATTTGGTACTTCGCCTCCGTGGTGGGATGCAGATTTTCGTCAACACTCTTCCTGGCTATACCATCACTCTTTACGTCGCGCAAAGCAATGCTATCGACAATGTGAAGACCACGATTCAAGACGAGGAGGGAGGTCAATCAGGTCACTTGTCTGACGCCGAGCTAGCCGCTCTGAGTGACCGGCTCAACCAAGATGAAGATAAAACCTGGCTTGCCCTCGCCGTAGCTTAAGCCGCCGCCGTGGTTACTAACGCTGATTCTAGGTATGGCATTTTCTTTCCTCTCTTCCTTCAGTCTCCCTGTTCTTTTCAGTCTTCCTTTATGCGAGTGTGTGAATCCAGTTTAGTTTGGTAGGCGTCTGATCATGGTGAGCCACGGTTTACCCAGCTAACGTGGGGCAATGTGTGTGACAACGCCCCTTATAGTTATAGTGTATTCAGTTCGGTTTTTTAACTGCGATGTTCCTTGCGGGTTGTGCCAGCGTTGTGCAGCAAGAGTGCTGTGGTTTTTCAGGTCCTATTTGGAGGACAGTTCTTTCCCCTTTTGACCCCGTGAGATCGTGTGAACCTGGTGTGCTTCTACTTTATGATTTGTTATCAGTTCATTTCTTCTGTCTACTCTAAACGTTATCATTTCCGATATAATTTGCCATCTTCCGGTTGACGCTGTTGTTCATAACTCTTCACTAATTTTTGAAAATCACGAGGGCGTGATTATCTGTAGGAAGGGAGGGTGTAGTATCCCTGCCCGACCAATACGGAAGTAGTACGGAACTAATACGGAGCTTTGCCTAATGGATAGTTAGTGTATCTCCGTATGTAAGCGTACGGCGTCTGCTGCATAAAAGCTGCTGCGCATTTCTGTTTAGATGAGATTTTGATAATAACGAGCTATTCAACCTCCAGGTGCGCACCGGAGAGAAAGTCAGTTATTTTGCCGTTTCTTCTTTCACTAATAATTATATCTCAGGTGTGTACCTGAAAGAAGTAGATTAAAAGTAATGCTTGCTGATTTCACCGCGCCTACCACTCGGCTACCATTACACATGCTTCACCACGCACCCACACGTACACATAATTATGCAAACACAAACAAACACACACACCCGCAACGCCACAAGCAGACACACATGCACAGACGCCCAAATATGGCATGGTAGAGACGTGCTCTGCAGTCATGCTCGTACATTAGTTTCGCTGCTATGTGACTAGTCCGTGAGCGTGAATGTCAGCAGGCAACATGTGCATGTATGGATGAGTGTCACTGTGAATGTATGGTGCCTGAGTCACCCAGTGGGCGGCATAAAGGTGTTCAGTGTACGTGTGAGTTTGTGCGCGTGTGTGGGGGGGGGGGGATGTGATGGTGAAGATATGTGTGTGTGTATGTGCGTGTGTGAGGGTGTGTAGGAGTGTGTGCGTGTGTGCGTGATTGTGGGCTTGTGGGTGTTGGAGTGAGTGTAATTATTATGTTTTTGTTTTGTTATTCATTGCACGCGCACGCGCGCGTTTGTGTATGTGCATGTGTGAGAGTGGGTGTGCGTGTGAGTGCACAGATATACGAGGTTCACACTGTATTCCTCAGGCAATGATTCTTCATTTACTTTTCTGTGCATATACATTTGTAACAAGGCATTATTCCCCGTTTCAGACCAGAATAAGTATAGCCTGATGTAGCGTGAAACTCTGAGTTGAAAAAAGCGTTGCGTCTTAATTGCAAGGAAGTTCTGCCCTTCCGGGTACTTTGTGTGTGGAGGGGAATTATCCTGTTTTGTTAAATGTTATTATGTCGTTGTGCTACTTACAATAGTGTGTTTTTCTTTAACCAGGAGCTAGTTCAAACTGTTCTCTGTTGTAGTCGAGGGACTTGTCTACAGTAACGGTTGCCATGACTAGGCGTCATTGCAATGATGGTTTCTTTCGAATTGCAGTCTTTGTATTTGTGTGTTTATGAAAAAGTCACGTGTTGATCATAAGCATTATAAAAATTGAACAAGACCTCATGTGGCTCACATATTGAGCTAAGCATTCCTTTGGTTTGTATCTGGACACACCACCATTCCTGTTGCTGGACTGCCTATCCAATCGAACAAGAAACACGATTGCTACGACATGTGAATGCCACAATAGAGATCTACTAGCACAGAATGGAACCTGGCATTTGTAGTGCATGGCTCACATTCCCATGATAATATAATGATCAGGAACTGGGAGATCACGCTTTTTATGCGGACTTGCGCTCGTCACTTGACAAGAAAACGACATCCAGTGTGCACGAAAATTCTATCAAACCTTCCACTCCGCAAACCTGCAAGAAAGTACCACTCGTGCTCAACACGCAGTGTTTCGTGGAACTAATCAGTTGACTTTTAGTAGACTGAGGAAATTTATCCTCCGACAGCACTGCATTATCAGGACTGTAATGCGCTACGAGACTAAACTTGGTAAGAATTTTTTTGAGACTTCTGTGACTTTGTGTGTGTTGTGAGTTTATGAATTGACAGAACATGTACTCCTTGGTTTGAATGTATGTTGTGGAGTTGGAGCATACCTGCACTTCCTATACTTACCGATGCCAATTGCTGTTGTCCCTAGTCATCTGCGTTGTTCCTGACTATCTGGCTCTCTCTCTTCCTTTGGTTGTTGCTGCTGGTTGTCTCTCTAATCCTTGGTGTATGCGTCGAGTGCTCGTTCATTCTTTTACTTGTTTATTAGAGAGTTTACCCTTCAGGTTTTTTTCCAATTTCGAACGTGATATCTCAAGGTCAAAAAGCGCATCTCACGTTGCAAAGTGAGCTTTCAACGTGACAGAAGTCCAACTCTCGGAAAAAAGCGATTCAACGCATTTTTTTCTCACTTTCCAAACTTGAACCACGTGAAGCGTAAACTCTCTAATGTCCATCTCTACGCCAAACCATTTTGCGCTGTGTGTCCTGGTGTTAATTTCCTTGATTATTCGGATATTTCGAACAATCCTTGCATCACATGCCGTCTTTGCTCAAAACGGCAATTGACAACAATAATCTCAGGAGAGGGAAATCAGTTCGAAAACTGTTCATTGTTGACTTCAGCATGGATAAATGTTACAGACCATGCTTTTAAAATATACTCCTTGCGTCTTAGTGCAACCAAGAGTGCCGCAACTCGTCTGATACATTGCTTGCGTCATATGCAACTTCGTGCTCATGGAGGAGGCTTTCTGTTGCTCGGGCGCCTGGTACAATTTGCATGCATTAGAAAGAAAGAAGGCGGTTTGTACTTACCTACAATGTTGAGTTGATATGTCTGTGTAGAGTTGCGATTCGCTGTTCTGCAATGGTACAGTCCAGTGTATGATGTGTCCAGTAAAGGATGTATTGTGAAGTTCAATTGTGTAACACTAAGTTGTGAGAAGGCACCTGTCTCAGCCAACACTAGACTACCATCAGTCTTCTCCAGTCGAATGAATGGTCCTGATCCACTGATCACTACACATACAGGTAAGTAGTCTGTAACATCGGCTGTAGGTTGTCCATCACCAAATGTCACTGTGATTGGTGTTGATTGTCCTGTACCACCAGCACTTAGACTGACACGTTGACCTGTATGAGCACACACAGCAGTACAGTGTTACAATACTAGCTCATTACATCACTAACACTGGGACTAAGTACTGGGAAAACAATACTTTATGTGCCGCTATATAACCATTGGGGAAGGAAATGAAAGATAATAAGTCTTTAAACAAAAAAAGCTGAGATCTGGTGCTTAACCCTTTGGAGTCCATGGTTCGATTTCGAACCATGGGCATTTTGTATGCATGTGGGCGCAGTCAAACTTTCGGTTCTCGGCCAAATCTTGGCCAAATTCAACAATCGAAGGGTCTAGATGGTAGAGAAAACTCTCAGCTATCGCCTCGAACAAGTCCGAAGTCTCTGTGATGAAGTGTAAGTGAGCGGCGAGCGATCAAACATTTCCAATGTTCTGCGCTGCGTGCTGCGAGTCAGCAGTGTGTGAAAAAAGGGATTTTCCCAGCTTCATGACAGGCGGCACGTGCCAGTCACGGCAAGGTAAGCCTCTACTCGAAAACATTTGAACAGTTCCGAGCTAGATTCAGTGAAATGGCTACATGAGACCGATTTCGTCTCAGATCTGGCGCTGGACTCGCGTTTGGGGCGCGATGTGGCGGACAATGAATAGTGTTCCTGGTGAGTTTGGGCTCATTGTATTTCTCTCATCAAGAGCTTTCCAACGAGCCCAAGATCTTCAAAATCGGTGAAGTAGAACCGAAGTTATGTTGGAAATGGAGTGCGCATTTTCGTGACTGCCACAAATTCTGCGGAAGCAAAAAAGTTACGGACTCCAAAGGGTTAAACCACACCTAACTGTCGAAACGGCGTATACGCGTATACGCCCTCCTAGAAACCATTCTCAGAGAGCGGAAATTTAGGAAAAAGATTGATTTTTTATTCCCCATGTGTATGTATCTGCGCATTGCGCATAGCCCATGTACGCCAGACAATATCCATAATATAGCCATTTAGTATATAAGTTAGTGCCTGGCACACAGGCTATGTCACAGCGACTGTTCTCACCATCACATATCCAATAAACGTGATGCTGCTCTGGACCTTTTACATCATCAACACATCTTCGAGGTTCTTAAGAACCTGAAGAGTATATTCCTTCTTAGCGAGTGAATAGTTTGTGTAACAATTCATATGTTTTCTTTTAGGTATAAGGGAGATTCCACCGTCCTATCAAGTACATTCATTGCCAGAGGCGCAATAGCCACGTTTGCTCCATTTAATCACCTTAATGCGAGGCCGCTGCTATGAGGGAAACGACAAACATTGGCACGCCATCAACAAAGTCTGTACTGTGCGCTCTGCCCTAGGTACTTCTCACCCTCCGTCTCTACTATGATTTGCGTCAGCTCTGACACAACGGATTAGAAGGAAAGCCCATTTGCACCGAAAATGGCTCAAAGACCGTAAGAATGATTTTGCGCATCAAGCCTTCCGCGCAGCCCGCCGTGAGTATTCTCTTCTGAATCGTCGGTTGAAGGAAACCCACTTTGTTCACCAGTTTGCTGCAACTCGACATGATGTCCGTGCTCAGTTGAACATCATTTTAAAACCGTCTTCTTGGCCGCCAGAAGCAAACTGGCACCCTGTCAGTGGACGTACCTGCTCTGACGTAACTTTTAAATGCCAAGTCTGTGAAATAATTATCGTCTGCCCTTGCTTCAACATACCAGATCCAGAGTGCACCATGTAGGGAATCTGCGGTAGTCACATTTCGACCCGTCACAGTGATTGTGCAGAAGCTCCTGGAAAGAGTTAATGTTTTGAAGGCAACAGTTCCGGATGGCGTACCAGCTGCTATCCTCAAGGCCAATCACCACTACCTCGAAGCAACCCTGAGAGATATCTTTAATGAGTCGCTAATTACTGGAGTATTTCCCAGCCCTTACAAACTTGCTAACATCGGCTCTGTATTTAAGACAGGAGACCGAAGTGATCCAACCAAGTATCGTCCCATCTAACTCCTTCCGATAGCCTCCAAGCTACTGGACCGAATTGTATATGACCGGCTTCATCAATATATCAGGACACCTCGTGCTAACAATGAGCAATTTGTGTACCGTCAATCGCACTCAGATGAAGACGCACTGGCTGTTTGCATTGACAGTTGGCAACATTCTCTAGACAATGGTAATGTTGTAGCGGTGGCGATGCTGGACCTCAGTAAAGCTGTTGACTGTGTTCAGCATGACAAACGTCTTCTCGAGCTCCATGCGTGTGGTATAGGTGGTAAAGCCCTGGCCTGGCTCTGCAGCGTCCTGTCTAGTCGTCAACAGCAAGTTGTATGTCGTCGCAACCCCCCGGGAGAACATTATCCTGCCAACCGTGGTGTCCCTCAGGGCTCTTGGTCCGCTTCAGTTCTGTACGCACGCTCTCTTCCAACATCCTTGGTTTTCTCCACCAGCCAACTCTATGCCGATGATACAAATGTATATGGTGCAGACAAGACTGCCGATGCAGTAATTGAGAAGGCTTGAGAAAGACCTGAACTGAATCGGCGAGTTTCTGCACTCCAGGGAACTCAAATTAAACGCGCAAAAGACTAAGTTTCTAGCCCTGCGGAGGTCCACGGTGCAGCATCCCGTCAGCTGCAATTCTGTAGCACTGTGGTTGAAAAATCATCTTGTGCTAAGTATCTTGGCATCATGATTTATAATAGATTGACATTCCATCAGCAAGTTGATGCACTTCGAAAGTAGGTCAGTGCAAAAGTGAATGCAAGCAATGCTTAGGTACACAGTCTGCGACAACATGAAACGGCAGTGGTGGTGAGGCCTGGGCAGATCGACTGACTGTGGGTCTCGGAGTCAGCACTGGGCAGACCCAACGGAAGGGAGGGGGGTGGGGGTGGTAGCTTAGGAGATAAGTGGTCGAAGCTAGAACGATCATAGTATGTACATCTTAAACAATAGTGCGGTGCAACTGTGCAGCGGAAAGGCATCAAGGACAGGATCTACGTGCATAACGTATAATTATGTGAGCTAGGGCGCATCATACACACACATGTGCACAGGTTCAAATAGGAGATCCCCCGTGATAAGCGTTTGCTGGCGTTGGGTGATCCTGAAATAAAGATTAAAGAGAGACTTAGTCAGAGGGGAACATATTAGCACACGAAGAGACTACAACAGCGCCAAGTTGCACGGACACCAAACAGGAGCCCATCGGATCAGGTAGCGCAGACTAACCATATCCCGAGTACTAGTAAGTGTGAACCCAATCTAAGTGTGAACCCAATCAGCGTGATTCAAACAACCCATCAGCTGTGAAAAATGATTCTGCAATAACTACACATCTGATCATGTCCCCTTCTGGCCTGAAGGGGACATGATCAGATTTTCAACTAGCTTCGTCTCTTCGTGTGCTAATAATATTACGAAAGAGATTATTCCCGTCGCTATGCAGAAGACGTTACTTCAGTAACGTCTGGCGCTAGCCAGGGTCCACACTGCTTTAATTCCCGTAGCTATGCAGAAGACGTAACTTCAGTAACGTCTGGCGCTAACCAGGGTCCACACAGCTTTAATTTGGTATTTGTGTGTTTGTTTGTGTCACGCCTGGCGCTATCCCGTATCTGTCCCGTACCGTACCATCAAACACAGCTGGCTACATACAGCTGGCCGCAATATTCAAATAGGGCTTTCAAACGCAAGATCATAACATGAAGCAACTTGGAAGAATGAGTATGAATGAGTAGGGGGGAATGCATGTAGGGAGATATTGTTGGTTCGACTACCAGGTTATGCCTTAAAAAAGTAGGAGAATTGAAAAAATTATAACATCCTTATGCTCTTTTGCCTAGGTCATCAAGGCGGTAGACGGTGTCGTATTATCCTCGACCGTACCTGTCCCGTACCTGTCCCGTACCGTACCATCAAAGACAGCTGGCCACAATGCATATTCAAATAGGGCTTTCTAATGCAAGATCATAACGTGAAGCAACTTGGAAGAATTAGAATGTATGCGAAGTGTATCGGGGGATGCATGCAGGGCGATAACGCGGGTTCGAATCCCAGGTTATATCTTAAAAAAAAGAGAGAAATTTATAAGAATTTATAACATTACTATGCTTTTTTGTCTAGGTCATCAAGGCAAAAAAGCATAGCGTAGGGCCCTGAGCTTCCAAGGTCTCTCGTTATCATACGCTCACATAAACGCCACATAACAACCACGCCCACACACAATTTGACCAATTGACGCCCATCGCCGGAGGCAATGATAGCGATGCTACAGCAGACGCCATGGCAGCTTGAGCTGGGATTGCACCATTCAACAGCTTGCAAGGCTGAAGAATTACCGCCAATAATCCGCCTAGTCTACACCACACAGCTATAAAGTGGTTCTTTCTGGCCAGTGAATCCCGACTTTTTGGTCTTTTTCATTTTTTACCCGCATACACATCACACCACATACTCCGGCATGCACTAGCTGTTGGTAACCGCCCAGGAGAATGAAAGAAAAGTCAGGAGGAGTCTGAGAAAGAGAAGAAAGACGTGTGTGATCATAATCGTCGGGAATCAAATCCGCAACCTTTAGATTGGAAATCGCGGCACATACCACTGCACCATATTTGTATTTGTATTCTATTATATTTAAGAGAGCATGTCTGAGAAAACCAGAACATATGTGCAAGTCGATCTCTCAGATTTCGCTCAAATTTTGCAGGTAGGTTTGCTTTGGGGTGTAGATCGACATTCCAAAGCCCGCACAAATTCTTTTGAAGGGAACCATGAAATTGGCATAGCTCTCAATATTGGCCCAATATTGGCAAGATTTATGGGTCTACAAACGAGCCACGGCACAGCGTACAAGAACAAGCTACGAACAAAACTCCATTGAGCCAACATTACCTCACCTTAGAAGAGTTCTTGGGGCAGCACCACTTAGCCCCGCCAGCATCCCAGAAGACGAGGGCAATCATCCCTTGACGCCACAAATGATCGTCTTGAAAATAGCCAAATTACAAGCGCTGATAAAACAGCGAGCTACGTCCTCAATTACCAAACACTATACAC